CGATCGTCGACGACTTGGATACGGTACGAGAGCGTGTGTACGAGCTTCAGAGGACCTGCATTGAACCGGGTTTATGCGCACGAATGGCAAGACGGCAACCTCTTTATATTTACCTCAACAGGGGCGTGCCCCATTCTGTTGACGATGCTCTCGCTTTGAATGAGGTTCGACTGTTTGAACAATGCAACATTGCTGGCAGCGCTCTGCCCTGTGGCCTTGAGGTTATCATGCCGCCACAAGTATGATTTAGCTTCGATGCTCTTCCGTGCTCATTCAAATTCAGATATAGAAGAAAGAACAGTTATGGAACTCAGCTTGTTCCACACAGAGGAAAGCAGGGATATTGTGGCTGTGCTAACATACGGACGTTCTGAAACCAAGAAAATCCCTGGTTTCCGGGGAGCCTAGCCAATTCTGATATCACAAAAGAGAGGATCATAGTAGCCTCTAGAGAGTATCTCGGAGCCTCCATACCTTCCCGGGCTGCTTGAAGCTGTCCGGAACTTGACAATATAGACTAATCAGTCGAGGTTGGCGTTACAGAACACGTTGACGATGTTATATTGCTTCGCGTTGAGTTAAAATAGCAGGCGAAGCCTATCAAGTCTCGAAAAGTACGTCCCGCGAGAGCGGCTGCGGAGACATCAACTCGGAAGTCGATGACATCAAAGGTGCCTTGTAAATGTGGCCGTTACATCTCCCTTTTCAGCCCTCAAAGCCAGAGGAGCTTGTCAGACCGGCTCATGGCTTTACAACAAGCCCCGGGAGGTGATCCATAAAGGTTTTTCTGCGTCTTCGTGTGCGTATATCTTGTATTTGCAAAGACCGTTTTCCCGCGGGTTCAGGGGTTGATTCGAGTGAAAGCACCGCTACTTGAGCCTCTGGGCCCATTGATTATGTGATTGATCCAGTGACTCTGGACTGTGTGCGCGCCCGATCCCTTTAGCCCGGGAATTGCAATTTCAGCGATTCAAGCGTTTTCCGCGTTTTCCCCTTCTGGGAGCCCTGTAACTACCTGAGAGAGCGTCGGTCAGAGCCAAATTCGCGGTTTGTGACGATGATTTGTGTAGCCGAGCTCGGAGCGGCTGCTATAGGCAATGCTGCGATAGCCTATTGACATCAACCGTAGAGGAAGACTGAAGCTATCGAGAAGATGTTCTTCGTACGCATGATACCGCAAGTATCGAGAAGTGGCATGTTAAACGGTTGGTCTCGTATGTGCAGTCTAGTTGACTTGACGAAACAGCCCGAGACCCCTTTTTTGGGGCCAAAAACAGTGTAGAGCAGAGGGCCTGATCGCGAGTGTCACGGACGAAGAAGTCAGATTTCTCAAAAGCGGTATGTACTCACTAGGCTCATAGGACTTTTATGTTTCTGCTTGGCTGCAACGCCGGCAGACTTTAGGGTCCTTTTTCAGAGCGCAGTTGAAGCTGTGTTGTGATATAAACATGTCGTAGGCCTCTTTAATATAGCCGAATGATCTTAGTAGCGTGTTTCGATATAGATCTCTTTTGTATTCGGCTCGCGCCGATCAAAGGGTGATAATGGCGCCAGCAGATAGTTGCAAGATCAAAGATACGTGAGATGCCCCCCACCTAACTTTATCAAACCTCATGCAAATTGAAGCCTGATGAATCCACTGAAATTTCCTTTATTTAATGAGTGTTCGATGTGAGTTTCAACGCGATTGTACAATCTTTCAAAGAATGACTCTGGGAGTGCCCCTACTGGGATTTATTCGCCATTGGTATTCAAGTGTGTAAGTCAATGAGCCCAATATGACGTTGGAACTCTTTGGATTTCTGCCCTGAGAGTGGCTTCGTGTGTTAATCAGCGGCCATGTCGGCTATTAGGACCCAATTGACACTCAAATCTCCTTTCTGGACTTCCTGGCGAAGCCAATGGTGATGAATATTCAGATGCGCAGTTTGGTCATAAGAGTCACCATCTTTTGTGTCAGGAGCCGTATAGTCTGCCGATTGTCACAATGAATAGCCGGGACGGGGTTCTTCTTGAGATCAAGCGTGATTTCCGGATAAAGGTGGTGAAACGCGATGACTTCTTTGTAGAGGCCCGTGATATAGCTAGTAGCTCTGCCCCAGTGGAAGATGTAGTGACTATGTCTCGTTTCCCCAACTTCCACAAGACAGGGCCACCGAATATCTTGATTCTGTAGCCTCAAGTGCTCTCGCGATCTTGGTGGGAGTTGGCGAATGGGGCATCTGACATTGCCTCGAAACCATGCTTATAGCCGTCAAAATCGATGATCTTGTTGATATCCCTATATAGGATTCCATGACCCCTGCTATGCGAATTCGAATGCCTCCACAGCCGCACTTGCTGCATGCACGTTCAGAGTCCTCATGGCCTCCGCGTACTATTTTAGCCTTGGCTAGAAGCAACATGACTTGTCAACGCCTTCTGGAGCCGGCCTGGCTTCATGACCAGGCGGACGAGGCGTTGGGTCACCTGTGTGCTTGTTCAGCGGCGTTTGGCGATAACTTCATTGGTGTAATCCACGCTAATCTATGCCTTTGCGCAGTGGAGGTTGGTTTCATTGGGCCTCTGTATGGCCACTCCTAGGACAAAGCCGTGCGCTCATAGCTGTGCCTCTTAGAGGGAGGGAGAGTTCGGGTTCAAAGGAGACTCGTAACGGTTGCGGCTCATAGCAGAAATGCGACGGGAAAAGGCTTTAATTTTGGTGAAACTGTGGATAATAATAAATTCTTCTCAATTCTTCTGGATTTCATGGGCGAAATGATGTTAACAAATAGGCGCGGGGAACATGCCATTTATGTAGTCAGGGATCCCCATTAATCGTTGGCCGCGCAGCAGATGACGCCGGCTACACGCCTAGCTCCTCCACGACCTCCAATGCCACCTGAAGGCGCCGCAAGCCACGCAAAGTATTCTTCAGCAGGCCTCTGGCATGACGATGCCTTGCGGCGACGTCCCGCTCATTCACTCCCGCTTCTGTCTACACCATCGCAGCCTCCAATGTCGCCTTCGAGCCCTCGACCGAGAACGCTCCGTCGACTCCCACATATCCGGAATAAGGCGTTGACTTCGCGCTTCTTCGGCTTGAGCTGGCCTCTTGCTCCGGATCCTCGACGGGTCAGCACTTGTACATGACGACGATGACGGCCTCGACTCGCCTTCCCGCCCTTCGTGCGCCCAGCGTCTTGCGCGTGGTCGATGATTTTATGGGGCCTCGGGGTGGATGACATTTGTGATGCCTGGCACGTCAATACTCGTACCGAGCGCAGCCGTGGCGACGATGCATGAGCCTTCCCTTCTCAACCATGCCTGCAATTGTTCTTCCGCAGGCAAGGAAGTAAGCGTTACGATCATCTGAGGTGT